CTTCATCTCTGCTTCAGCTGTCTGCAACAAGTTGTGCAATTGGGCCAATGTCTGCTCAGTGTTGTTCAAATGGTAAGTTAGAATAAACTGACCATAACAATCAGGTAATGAGTTCAAGACCATGTCAATGGCCAATTCCTCATCAAAGTGAATGTTGAGCTTGACCAAACGCTCTATGTAGCATTGCATTCTTTGCACATGAGACACAACCGACTCCCCTTCTTTCATCTTGCAAGCCATGAGTGACTTGACTACTTCAAAATTTTTCTTGACGAGCTCGCTTATGGTACTTTTCCATAAGGTCCTTGTTCATCTCAAAGGGCCAGTAGTCCTCATAGTACCTCTGCAGTTCTGGGGACATGGTCGCGACCATGATGCATGCCACTTTGGTAGCATCATCATAATGTTTCTTGTAGGCAGCATATTCTTCAGGAGTAGCTTTAGACTCATCAAGCTCTTTGAGCTCCTTTTCAAGGACATATTCTTTGTCCTCAAAACGAAGCGCCATCTTGATGTTGCGCATCCAATCGTTATAGTTAGAGCCATCCATAACGACTTTGGAGCAAATGTTGAGCAAAGAGAAGTTGTGGTTGGAGGATGATGAAGCAGAAGTGTTTCCAGGAGTAGACATCTGAAAAGAAAGAAAGTTTTAGTTAGATCTCAAGATACCTCAATATAATAACCCAAAGATATAATATTAAGGTTAGGATCCAACTATGAATATTCACAACTTAGAAATGGGATGCCGAGATCCAAGTGTAAATTTCATAAAGGTAGGTGAATGACGATTCACCAATTCCACCATTAGACGAAATAAACGAAGTGAAATTCCTAATTCTTTTGAGATACATTGAAACTATTCAATGACATGTTTTAATCTCATATTATGCTCTTCTATTTGTGACTGGGATGCCGAGGATCACAAACAAGACGTGAATAACCATGCAAATGTGCTTGGTAACCTCATTGTCTTTATCATTAACTATTGATGTGCTGGTAAACCACACACGCTCCATCAAAATGACAATTATGAGATACCCATTACTACTCTTTATTAGTGCCTTTTAGTGTGCTGGTTAACCACACACGCTCCACTAACGACCAATAAAGCATAATGTGCAATTTCATGGATTAGCATACTTTTCACATTTTTCCTAAAGTAACTAGAGTTGGGATTTTTGTAAAATAATGTTCTAGTACTTTCTTTAATAACATTATACTTTTAATGAGATGTAGTTTTCCTATCAAACCCGTTCTGCTAACGACCCTCCACTAATCAAGGAAGCGGTGGGTGAGAGTGGACACCCATTCAACTACCATTTTATAGGCAGTTTCCTTATACCCCCCTTATAGACTAGCTTCGTGAATGAGGCATACTAGCGATTTGACTGACCATATTCTTATACATATATAGTATTAAACTTTTAATTATAATACATATATAAGGTGTGTTTTAAACTTTTTAAAACTTTAAGGTTTATATATAAATTTCGAAAAATTAAACTATTAATTTAAATTTAAAATAAACCAAATAACTAGATTTAATAATTATCTATTAAATCTTGTAAGGATTATCTAATCAAATTAAACAATTAATTTAATCCTAATCCTTATCCCTCTAGATTTCGAAAATTAGGGTAAAGGATAATTTCCTTATTTTTCTCAATTATCCAATTAGGCAATAATTATCCAAAATAAGATAAAACCCTAAAATAACAAGCAAATTTCGAAATTCAAGGGAGGAGGCTAGGGTTTTCCAAAACCGTTACCCTAATTTCGATTAGTGTTCATGGAGGCTAGGGTTTTTCGAAAAACCCTTTGAACCAAAAACCCTAAAAATGAAAAATTTTGGAACTAGGATTTCAGAATTACATACCTTTCAATTGTTATAGCAAACAATTGTTAATCCTCTTGAACTTGATCTTCTTGGAAGCCTAGCATCACAAATGTAATGCCTCTAATGGAATCACACCCAAGAACTAGCAAGAAGGAAACTTGAAGGAGAGAGGGTAGGGTATGCAAAATCGGCCTAGGGTTTCTTCCAAGGTAGGAGTGGCCGATTTTAGGAGCTGGGAGGCTCCTTATATAGCTGAGGGATCTAGGGTTTAGGGAAAACCCTAATACTCCTTTGCTTAGGGCCTAAGCTAACCCAAAGGCCTTATCCAAAGCCCCTTGGACGAAATCCTTAGGGTTTCCCCTATAGATTTCGTCCACCTCCTTCCAAGGAGGTTCTGGAGCCTTCCACTCAAGTATTAGATAATTGCAAACTAGTCCTTGCACTTTATAATTAATACTTTTAACCCCAAAATTAATTCTGAGTAATTTCTGGCTAAGTATTAATTAAACATAATGATTTCTAATTAATATATTAATCTTTTAACATATTAATAAATCATTTATATTAATTTATTAATCTTATAAATTAATATCTCTCCTTTCATAATTTCCTTGTCTAGTTGTTAGGTTTGAGGGCAACCCAAAAGGACTGTGCTGCTATCAATTCAAGTACATACCAATTATAGTTATGGGCTTAGACACCTAATCCAACAGTTTCGGGGGCAGAATGATGCAGGATGCTGTCAGCACAAAAGGATTCATTTCAAGGAAAGAGGAGTAGAGACCCCGATACCTTGGATCATCAGGATTGTTGTTGAAATTGGCCAGTTGACACATCCGTTAGATTTTCCGTGGGGAAACCTAGTTAGAATCGCAGTACATTTTGCATCTTGGATGAGAAGGCGGCTGTCTCGCTGCATGATAATCAGGGCGGAGAGTGCCTGAACTACGTGGGAGACCAATAGTTGTTGCGATAGGGAAGACGAAGATTCTACATAGCCATATAATACCTTAGGAAAGGGTGTAATGGGAACGTCGAAGGGAATCCGAGTTGACTTGGGGGTCGGAGGCCGAGAAGCGATACCATTCCAAAATTGTTCACCGTAGTAGACTTCGAGGACGAAGACTAAAATAAGTGGGGGAGATTTGTAACACCCAGTTCCTGATAAGCATTCTTAAAATGAAGATTTATCGTTTTAGCAAAGGGACTCGACGAGTTGAAGGACCAACTCGTCGAGTAGGATCGGCCGTGGACGCGGGAGTTAAGTGACCTAGTCGGCGAGTCAGTATACCAACTCGGTGAGTAGCAGCTGTTTGGGTAAACCCTAAATTGAGGGTTTGCACCCTATTTAAACACCTTATCTCAGCCTCCATCGTCCCTTATACTCCCAGAAGACATCATATCGAAACCCTAGCCGTTTTGTGTGTTCTAAGGCCATTTTGGTGCTTTTTGGTGGGTTGTGAAGCTTGAGAAGAGGAAAGAAGCTTGTGAGACCAAGGGGAAACAAGAAGATCCGGAGTTTGGAGCTCATTTTCAGCTTATTGGAGGTATGAAGTTGAACCTTTGTCTATAGATCTTGATTTTTGGGCCTTTTCCTTCATCTTTCTAAGCCCTAGAGAGGTGGTATTCGGGATTTAGTGTTGGAAGTCAGTGTATGCTTTAGATCCAGGTCTATTGGGGGGTTTTATGGCACGAAGGTGCCCATTTTGTTGCCATGAACACCCCATGCACCATGGAGGCCATCTTTTATGGCTTTTTGGGCCAAAGACCCCTTGCATGTGTACCAAGTTTGGAACTTTACGCATGAAATGGACATTAGGGGGCCAGATCTATGGTTTTGATGTGGTCAGACCCATTGAAATCGACTGTATAGTATTGCTCAAGGATGGAATCGACGAGTCGGATGAGGATGGTCCCGATGTTTTGAATGAAGGAGAACCCGTCGAGTTCTTGCTCGACTCGACGAGTGGAGTCGGGGTTGGATTGGGTTAGTGGAGTATGGAATCGACGAGTTGGTAGACCAACTCGGCGAGTCAGGTCAACTGGGTGTTGACTTTGACCAATATTGACCTTGCTTGGTTTTGGTATTGACCCTGGTTAGGGTTGTTTGTTCTGTTTGATGACTTAAGGGTTGTCGTGTAGGGATTGAGGAGTCGAGGAGAGCCGACCTTCACGCCGAGGACAGTTCAGACACTACACGACATCGAGGTGAGTTACCTTCCAGTAGGAGTGGGTCTAAGGCACCAAGGTCGGCCCACTAGTGATTGTTTAGTTGGGATGATTATCTTTGTGATAATTGTCTGGTCTGTTATGGATGGATATGTGAGTATGCTAGATTGCTTGGTATGGAAGTATGCTAGTTGCTTTGTTATGTGAGATAGTATCAGTAGGAGGGGACTAGTCCCCGATTCGGTCGTTAGGACCAATGGGTAGGTCGGACACCCCAGATATGTCTGACATCATGATTGTGATATGATATTATATGTTAGTAGTAGGGGGTGAAATAGTCCCCGTGTTCGGTTGAGATAGACCGGAGGGTAGGTCAGCACCCCAGAATGGCTTGACATGGGTAGGTCAGCACCCCAGAATGGCTCGACATGGGTAGGTCAGCACCCCAGAATGGCTTGACATGGGTAGGACGGGCGCCCCAGAATTGCCCGGCAGTATGTATGCTATGAGGTTGTATGGTATGTGGTATGATGGGGGAACTCACTAAGCTTTGTGCTTACAGTTTCAGTTTTGGTTTCAGGTACCTCTTCGTCTAAGGGGAAGGAGCCGGCGCCACACCTATGATTTCCGCTTAGAGTTTTCTGGGATTGTACTCTGATATTTGATACTTCAGATGTTTGGGGTTGAGACTTGGTATTATGGTTCTATGTATTGACATGATTTTGGCAATGATTTGATAAACTATTTTATAAATCACTTAATTAAAAATGAAATTTTTGGCCTCGAATTTTGGGATGTTATATATATATATATATATATATAATATATATATATATAATATATATATATATATATATATATATATATATATATATATATATATATATATATATATATATATATATATATATATATATATATATCGATATATATATATATATATATATATATATATAGGGAAGGGTTATTTGGAAAAAGGGTATATTAGTAAAGCCTTTGTTGCAATCAGTTACTATTAACACTTTTGAAATTCGAAGTCACAATCGATTCAACCCTGAAGAAATTTAAATTTTGAGTTTTGAATTTCAAATTGAAAATCATTTTAAATTTCAAGGATTTTCAAATTCGAAATTTGAATACGTATTCCGATTGACATCTTTGAATTATTTCAATTTTTACTGATTTCTGCTTCAAAAATCACAAATTCTTCAGAGATATTTGAACGATGCTACAAAAAGTGGAGAATTATCTTCAAATTTACTTATGACAAATTTACGAAATTTACCAAAATCATGTTTTCCCCCATATCCCAAAATCACGATCGGGCTTCACTGATACTTCCGATCACTACTTCCACTCGCTGCTTCCAATCGGTGTTTTTCCCGGTGTCGCACACACTCACACACGCATCAGGTAAATTTCGTTTCTTCAATTTCATTTCTTTTCTTCAATTTCGTTTTTGTTATTGTTGTTTGATTTTCTCACGTGATCGTATTTCTGCCTACCACCACCCCCACAAATCTGTAATTGATTGTCCGTCTACCTTGAACAGAAGAAATACTATCAATTGGCCAGTTTCCCTTATCCTTACAAACATTCATTATGAATGGCTTAAAACACATTCATGTTCTATTGAAGAATTTTACATCTGGGTTTTCTGTAATTGCAGGTATCGACAATAGACTTTGAAATATCCGGTCCAACGAAACTAAAAGCTCTGAATTCATCGACAAACAAGGCAGTGTCGACTCACTATTTATGTAAGTTTGAGCCTCAAATTTGATTATTATAGATTTCATTCAACATGTTTTCTTCGTTTTCAAAGAGTTCAATCTTTCGGAAATCTTCTGAGCAAATTTTATGTAACAATGGTTTCGTCTTTATCAAATTTGGTTGATTGAATTTAACACCAAATATGTAAACCATTTGCATATTTCAAATGACATAATAGTTGAAAGTTAGATTTTTTAATTACAATTGGAAGGTGAAATATAATAACTTACAATCAACATTGTACTTGGTCCAAGAAAAAAACAATTTTGACTTTTCTTATCAGGTTCCATATTTATGTTACATGTTACGTATGCAGGATACTTATTGGGTTGGCTGATGCTGAAAGAAGGTAGGATTACATAGATTACAACAAAAATTTTGATGCAATCCGTCTATGATTTGGTATCATCTAAACCAATATGTTATTAGATTTTCCACATCAGTTACCAAAATGTTAATGTTGATAATAGTGGAAAAGGAAGGAAACCAATGGCTTATTCTAAGAAGGCTTATATTGAGGTTGAAGACGTACAGGTAGACTTGATGGAGTATAATAATAAGAAGAATATAAGAAAGAAGGGAAATCAAAAAGAAAAGATATAACAATGGAAGAAGAAGAAAGAGAGCACCAAAATAATGGTAATGATAATCATGATGTTGATTAGCCATTGTCATCCATTTCGGTTAAGAGCGTGGTCATACATGAAGAGGAAATGCAAAGGGAGACGGAAGAAAGAAAGAATCCAGAAGAGGAAGAGGCTAAGAGGAGATTGTTCAAAGCTCAAGCAATCTTAAAAGAATAAGAGAAAAAATAAAGGCCATAAAGAACAAAGTACTTTCATTTACATATTTTACTTTTATTTTTCAATTACAACAGTATTGCATTTTAAAAAATCTTGAAACACTAAAAATAAATGGAAAGGCGTTGATGTGTCCCTATGCCAATCTTGAAACAATAAGAAAAAAAAATGGTTGAGTAAAAGAAATAGCAATGTACTTTTCATTTATTATATTTACAACATTTTTATTTCATCTTGCTGTATATTTATAAATGAAAGTACGCTGTTGTCTAGCCATAAACTTTTCTTTAAAAAATTCTAACTTGGTCTGATTTTCAGGGATCTAATTCTAGTACCTGAGCAAATCCATAGACCTCTAGCCGAGGTTCAATAGTTCAAATTACACGTGCAACACCAACCTGTGAATATGAATAAAGCAGAATATGACCAAAAAGTCAAAGAGAAAGAGATGATGTACAAGAGATACAAATAAGATACAAAATTTAGCAAAGATGGTATAATAGAACACTGTATGTAATGTACTTCTGACTTAGAAGTACATTGCTATTCTAGAGCAAGTATTGAAAGTTTGTTGCCATTATAGACTGTGGTTATCGTTACAGTAAATTTTTTTTTGCCATATTTTCCCCTGCACTGTCAAGTTGACATATTTGCTCTGCAGATCTAAGTTGTCATGCAATGGTTGTGTTTATGTGACCTGGTCTCTGTAAAATCTCCCACTTCATCTACTAAAAAAACAATGCAAAAAAAGAAAAAAGAAAAAAAATTCAATCCCGTTGCAAAGCACAAGTTTTTTACTAGGTTCCATAATAACAACAAAAATGTTAGATTTTATTTAATTTTTTATTTTTCATATTATACTTTAAAAAACAATCAAATCACAACAAGAGCCCAAACAATTTTTTGTTGCTTCTCATTGCTATAAGGAAAAAAAAATAAAAGGTAAAATTTTAAAAAATATAGTAATTTTAAGACATAAATTTGAAATCTAATATTATTAAAGAAATTTGAGATGCGATGGAACTTGAAATTGAATTGCTATGGTGTTTTCAGTTTAGGTCATTCAGATGGCTTGAAAATTGTAAGGTCCTTTTGATGGAGGATCTATACCAATGATCAATCAAGCAAATGAAATAAAGAAAAAGATGAGTAGAAGGATGATTGAAATTGAACTTGCATACGATTATAGCTATAAACCGTCTGATACAACTCAATGGACCGAAAACCACACAGTAAACAACTGTAGATCAACAACCTACAAGTGACAACCTAACCACCTATATATACCAATATGGACCGAAAACAGGTTTCGGTCAGGTTGACCGAAAGCCTGTTTTCGGTCACTTCTAATCGAAAGTGATCTAGACCGAAACACCAAAAATACACAAAAGACTCCAAAATAAAATGACAAATGCCCTAACTCATCTATACATTTGATGCCTAGCCCAAACCATATAATTAGACCTTTCAATCTCCCCCTTGGTTTGCGGCTAGCATGAATTAGTCTTTATCAACCAGCATCACATCGGTCCCCTCCATCGATCCACTCCACATTCCCTTTTGGATGATTTCTGCCACCATCGAAGTGAACTCCTTTGCAGCATGCTCAATCTCCCCCTTGGTTTATAGCTTTCTTTTCTAAATGACCCAACAAGCTCCCCCTAAAAAGGTAGCTGGCTTTTCTTGTTAATCTTCATTGTGAGCTTGACTTCAGCATTTATCTTCAAATTCTTCACAACTTCAAGATGATCTTGATGAATCTTCAATGAATGACTTCATCTGGAGCAGTTGGGCTTATCTTCAAAATTTGACTTTGAACGCGCATTGGGTGAGGAGGCTTCTTGAAAAGATTCTTGAAAGATAGCGCTTTCAGCTTGAGAATCTTCAGAGAGAACATCAGAGAGAACGAATCTTCTGGATCACTTCAGCAGGTACATAGATAGCAACAAATTGATTGAGGAGGCTCCAATGCAATCTGTCACATAATCTTCAAGTGCAGCTTCACCTTGCTTCTGGGGTTGAAACATTGAATGTCGAAAGAATAATCTTCATTTCTTGCTCCTTCGAATGAGAATTCTTCGATGCTCACGGATGAAGCCTCGGCTCAGAAATTTTCAATACAGTCTCCATGAGTCTCATCTACACCTGGATTCACTTTTCAAGACAAAACAAAACTAAAAGAAAACTTAGCACACAAATTAAAACAGAAACTAAAATATTTTTGGGTTTTTGATTTTTCTGATTTTTGTTTGATTTTTAATTTTCTGATTTTTTGTTTGATTTTTAATTTTCTGATTTTTGTTTGATTTTTTTTAATTCTCCCCCTAAATTTGTGCATAGAGGAAAACTATGAACAAATTTAACAAAAACAAAAATATTTGGGATCAAAGTTGTTAGACAGCCTTAATCCGTTTATCAGTACCTCCCCTTTCATGAATAGATCTGGTCGATCGCCGGTATTGTGGTCCACTTAAGCACGAAAAATTGTGACAGATTTTGGACATGCTATCAGTGACAAGACATTTTGATCCTATATTCCTAGATAAACTTCCTAAGGACCATTTAGCTGACGACGACCAAAAATATTGTTGTCCACCTAAATTGAGCAGCGAGATCTACAGACAACCTATAATTGTTCAATTTTAGTTGTACTAGAACGTGTTTCCCACTTCCTGATATACCCCAATAATCAAGGACTTCCGAGATACTCCTTACTTTAGGTGAGCAGATGATTATTCATAGAAAGGATAGATTTAGATTACATATGTTGTACACTCAGGTCGGATCTTTCAATCACGCAGAGAGTGAAACATATGACTGACTTGAATTTCAGAGGGATTGAGAAGTAGAAGGTTGCATATGCTGTGTACCAGGTCGGATTGTTAATCACGCAAAGGAGATAGCATATGACTAACAGATAGGAAGAATTGCATAGATAGAAGATGCAGAGCGATAGAGTTGCATATGCTGCAGTCCAGGTCGGATCTTTCAATCACACAGAGGAGGCAACATATGACTAACAGTAAGAGAGAAAGAAAATAATTTTCTACAGACCTACTTTATCGGAATTCCCCAGTCGCTCCGTCAATACCGGAATTAAGGACAAAATCCATACATCGAGGAAAAGTTAAACCACAGTTCTAGATACGGGTTCTTTAATGTAACCGGTAGATTCTCATATATATCTCCCTACTCAACCTACCCGAGCGTCGTATTGTCAGGCTAAATGGAACTATCTAGGTCAAGATTTGTCAAGTCTCTAGATTCCTTAAGTTCATATGTACCTAGTCAAGTCCATTTAAATCTTTCGTGCCTACCAGCGCATCGAGCACAGAGCCTAGACAATTCAGCTTTGGTACTTTACACAGACTCAGATTGTCTGTTATCACTTGTTGATATCACTTCCCAATAATACATACTAAAGAAAGGCATATAAGAAAATAAAAGATTGTCTTCAAAACGAATCAGTGTAAGATAAAATCAGGAGTATAGAGAAGAAAACTCAAACCGTAATTCACGGATTGAATTTGCATCCAGAAGGTCTAAGAACAACACACATAATCTCAGAACAGATCCGAAAATTCTTCACGTCGTTAAGCACAAACCCTATGTGTGATCCCTTCCTTTCTTCCTTTCCCACAAAGGACACATGCTCTCAAACAAAGTTCTGAATGTTGTACAGTTGAGAGATGTCCCCTATCATGTGCCAGGAGCAGCCACTATCAACAAACCAAAGTCTGATGATATGCCTCCATAGCTGCTCCGACACAGATTGGGATCAGTTGGTCTTTGGAACCCAATCCATTTTGAAATTGGGTCGACCTTTGTCATCTTTGCAAGGAACTCTCTCCCACGACATATCCTGCTTATCACAAACAGAAGGTGACGAAATATTAGAATCGTTAGAAGATTTAGGAGATTGAACCTTTGGTACCCATTTGTAGTTGGGTTTAACCCATTTCTTGCTCGCTCCGATGGGTGCCTCGGCACTTGATTTTGAACTTGAAGCCGATTGCCGAGATGACTTTGATTTTGGATTAGACTTTTTGGCCGACATTCCCTTCTTGACCTTGGGAGTTGGATTCTTGGCATTGTGGGTTTGATTCTTGGCTTTCAGCGCATTCCAATCACCATTCCTCGATTGTGACCTTGAATGATTTCCTTTGTAGAATCTCCCACTTTGCGCGTTCTGCCAGCCTTGTGCGTAGTAGGGAACATATGCGCGACTTGGACAATTTCTAGCAATATGACCAGGTGTTCCACAGTGAAAACATGTCTTTTTCTTCACTGTGAAGTTGTTTCTTCCTGCCCATGGTGGTGTGTCCTTGCCTTGTCTCTGGTTGTTCCCACATGCACACTTGCAACAAGCCGTTGGTTTCGCTTATTTTGGTGGCCTGTATTTCTCAACAGCAGGTTGATCAGAAGCAACTGAGTTCGAAGCAACAGATTCAGAGTTCAAGGAGTCATTGAATTGTTCAATTGTTTTCTCCTTGTTCTCATCTTCTACTACTTTACCTGCACATGTAACAGAATCATTAGAAACGTTCACCTCAACCTTTTCTGGCACAACCACAACAGGTTTCCCATATTGAAGATGTGCCTCCCTGTTAATTTCTTCCTGTGTTATAGGGATGGATGTATAGTTATGATTGAAAGGGGGAGGAACACTATCATACCCTAGACCTTTGTTTTGATTATCTTTGAATTTTAATTGGTTTTCAAATAAGGACTCGACTGTCTTACTTGACGCAGTATAATTTTTGAAACTAACATCTGTTTTTCCACACTTAATTTTCAAAGCGTCAAGTTCTTCAGTTACAGCAGCAAGTTGTTTCTTAATGTAATCGTAATTTTCACACTTGTTGCTGTAATCTTCTTGGAGCTTTCGAAAATCCTTGATTTTGGCTTCTAATTGTGCTTTTAATGGTTCCTGACCTTTCCTAAGAGTATAGCCTTCGTATTTAAGGTCATAATTTTCTCTTTTTAATAAATCGATTTGATCTCGGAGAAATTTAATAGTAGTTTCACAAGATGGAGTACATGAAACTTCATTTACCGGAATGGATGCGGAAATCATTTTTTTTATTTTAATTGCCCTTTGACTTAAAAACCGAAAAAGTCAACCTTAAAAGTCAAATTTAAAAAGTCAAACTTAAAAATCAAACTTAAAAGTCAAACTCAAAAAGTCAAACTTAAAAGTCAAATCGAAAAGCTAAATTTGAAAATTTGAAAATTAAACGAAAAAGTCAAAGTTTAAAGTCAAAGGTCAAACTTGAAAGTCAAAAACAAAATTTTAAGGTCAAAAGTTAAAAATAAAGTCTAAAATTAAAAACTAAATTTTTTGGGTGAAAATGAAGTTTAAAAATAAAAGAAATTGATTTTTGGGGTTAAAAGTGTCAAAATTCGAAAGTTGGAACCGAGAAGGAGGTGTTTTGAATTAAATTTCGAGGGATTGTCACAAAGTATCGGCTAGTCGAGTTGGGTAAGGCGTGGGGTTGATGAACTAGAGGTCCCGGGTTC